GTTGGTCCGCTACAGCATGACAGAGGTACACTTTTGTAAGTACTCCAATATACCACAAATAGATTACATGGTCCAAAGATTTTTGCAGGGAAAGAATCGGTATCGGGTACCAAAAAGGAAGTATTGGGTGCCGAAATCTATTATTTAAGTTTTGGGTACCGACAATTCAGCACATCGCTAGTACCAAGTTTCGGTGTGCACATTGTGAATACGCATATTAATTTAGCTTTTAGTGGAAGCAAAGAACATTAATATAGATTAACATAGCTTTACGTTCTTCGCAGAAAGGCAAACAAACATATAAATTGTGAACACTTTCAGTACACACCATCAGAATGTAAAGATTTTACCTAAATTTAAAAATTGTTTAACTCTGGCATAACCGCGCGTAGTGAGGTGACCAGATGACTTTTATTAATTTAGACGTCAAATACTTTGGCAGCTGATTGATGTTTGCAAATATTTGCTTGTTGTGTGCAAGTGAACTGTCTGGTTCGGATTCGAGTTGTTTTGGTGGGCATTTAATTGTCGCTAGCCGTTTCGACATTGTCATTTACATAACGTGTTGCGGGAAAAGGTAGCTATCACCATCCTAATCTTTTAAAGTGTAGCATTTGTATTCAATATACCTAATATATGGCAATGTAATAGAAAAAGAAAGTCAAATTTGGATAACAATTTTGTAATATAAAATTAATATTTCCATTTAAATTCCCAGTCTGTAGACGTCCAGCTAGATCAGCCAGTGAAGTGATTCCATCAAACCAGACTAGAAAGACAACATAAAGATGGCACAACGGGCACCTAATAAAAACCTTGTCGGCAGATTGGTGAACAGCCTTAAGAGCAAGGAGTTTCGTGATTATTTAATGAGGTTTGAACATCTTATATGTTACATTTCATAAATGCTATTTTATTTCTTCTAATAATCTCGCGTAGCACACATTTTTGGGGGCCAGTGGCTAANTCCGGCAGGATGACTCTTGGTAAGTTGGTCAATGCGAATAAAAGTGTTCTGTTTTTGTTAGGATAGTTGAATACGTGCACACGCAAATGCATACAGTCCAGGCATGCAACGAAGCCCTTTTCCAGCCCTTCTTGGGTAGGATTCTTATGGCTGGTTTCTCCAACTCAACTTAACTTAGTTTAGCCACTTTT